CCCCCCCCCTTCACAGCCCCCTCAGCTCCAACCAAGGAAGGCTCCAGGGGGAGCGGCAGCAACAGGGACAACTTGCGCCTCCCCCACCAACAGCAGCAGCAACAGAGCATGCGGCCGGCCAGGCAATCGGTGCCGCGGCAGCCACGTGCACACACGCAAAGAACCAAAAAAAATTTGTGAGATAGGCCACAGAAGCGACATCCAGTTCAGCACAGCCGACAATTCACTGCAACACACTCCAACATCACTTGGGGCTATCGCTCCTGGTATGACCATTGCTACCTTTCGCTGCGCCATCGTCTTCCTCCTCCTCGTCCTTCTTATTTTCTTCCTCCACCTTCTCTTCAGCGAAAGACCTCAGAGAGGCAGATGCATCTAGATCTACACCAACAGCCTTCAACAGCGCCCGCTTGTCTAATGCCTCCACCTCCGCGCGCTTCATGGAATTCTCCACGTCTGTGCGGAAGTGCATTATGTGGTTCCACAGAACTGTCTCACCCAAGGTAGGATCCTCCCCATAACTCTCCAGCATTGCCGAGACATCATCCTTCAGCCGCTGGTGCCGCAAGGCGAGCTGCGACACAATGGAGAGGTACTCCGCGACATGTGCCGCCATTAGATCCGGGAATGCGTCCACAACGCCTGGCGGATACATCGCCGCACGCTTCTCCTGCACACCCGGCCGTCTCGATTCCTCCACGGTACGCCGCATCTTCTGCAGCGTGAAGTTAAGCTGGGCGACGCTCTGGCCCACCTCCTGCACTGTGGTACCAGCGAGATTGTCAAGGCACTCCACTTCTTCTACAAAACGCAGGAGGTCTGGCCGCCGGTCCTGCAGGGAGACGACAAAAACCTCCAACATCGTCGTCTTGCCGTCAACTGCCTTCACGAAGTTCATCTGATTAAGGCTCTCAAGGCGGAACCCTACTGCATCCGCGTAGGCACTGCCACGATTCATAAAATTGCCGAATTCCAAGACAGTGTGGAATACTTGAGAGAGCTTTGATGTTTTCTTCGTCGCCACCGACACCGCTTTCTCAATCACATCAAGTCTCTCCTCTGTGAAAGAGACAAGTTCCGCCGTTTCCCCAGAGGCCAGCCAAAGGAGGATACGCTCGCGGACATCTGTCACAGTGGTGCACAGCTTGTGAATGTATTCCTCAACATCTGTCCAGGCAACATTCCCCGCGGCTCGCTCCGCTGTTAATGCTGCGATCTCCTCAGGTGTGGGGAGGGCACTAAGCAAGGCTTCCAACTTTTCGCTCGGAAGCATCACATCATCACATTCAATCAACCCTCGACACATTTCGTCTACTGGTATCTTAAGTTTTTTGAGACATATTGCGATATTTTGCTTCCGTTGGACACCTAAAGCACTACTTTTGCGTAGACCCTCTGTCTTTGGATCATTTGGCCCCTTATTCGATAGCACCAAGGACGTTGACTTCTTGCGAACCTCAAACATGGCGAGCAGAAAGGGTTCGTCCACGACATCTTCGACAGCAGAGGAGTTACGGTGGCTCCATACACCTACAGGCCGCTGCAACTTCTTCCAAAAAAACGTCTTTAACTTGGGACCAACAAACAGCGGTTTCATCGGTGTTGCGGAGAAATTTTCGGGCATCGGTGGTGGTGGTACCGGAGCCTTCCCCAACATTGGTGGTGGCGGC